GGCGGCCCACGTCGCCCAGTTTCTTTAGATTGGGCCAGAGACTGACGATCTCCTCCAGATAGTATTTGTCATGGCATGCCTCCTCGAGCACATCCATTGCGGCCAGCACCACGCTGCCATCCGCATCCTTGGTTTGCTGTATGATCAGTGGTAAGCCCCAGACTTCAAAGTTGGGCAAGCGTGCGCGCAGCAGCACGGCCAGAAACTGCGTGGCATACAGTCGTCCACTGCGCGTCTTGGCCTGCGTCAGCGCCTTTTCCAGCACCTTTCGCGGCAGCTTCTCGTGGCTGTAGTTCAGCCCGGAGACAATCAGCTTCACATAGCAGACGTGATCTGTTTGCTGAACCAGTATGAACAGACTAAGGAACAGAACGAGAGATAGACGATGTTAGATAGACGAAGGCCACAAAACGGGAGCCATCGTATAGCACTCACTATTCGAATACGGTTGTGTTCTTAAGCACTTCGATTCCCTTGGCGGTGCGACACATGCGCCCAATGTACAGAAAGTACTGCTGGCACATGGTGTTGTTCATATGCTGCGGACTGAACAGACAGTCGTGGGCTCGACTCGAGGTGGTCACTGCCAGCAGATGCAGGCTGACGTCTGAGAAGTAGTCCGTTATGTAGCGCATGCACTCCAGCTGATGGGCATGATTGTGGATTAGAAGAGGAGCGTTCACTCTAACCGAGAATAATTACCTCACTGCTGTCGAGCAGCACGTCAATCAGGTCGAGGCCGGCACTCACGTACGACGGCATGGAGTAGCCTGGCACCAGATCTTGGTGTGAGAAGCGATTGTTGCTCGGCTTGTAAAAGTCCACTAGGCGCTTTAGGAATTTATTTAGGAATTTGCCCGGCGTGTAGTCCAGCTTGCGTATAAAACTCGACTGGGAGAAGAAGAGGAGCGTTAGTGGCGGCAAATCAAATGGCGCATTACGAAGTGGAATGCTTACTCTCAGTATGGTGATGATCACCTCCCAGTCCCAGGCATTCGCATCCGCCTTGACCAGCACATGGGACTCGTGCAAGAGTCGATTTAAGGCACGCAAATTGTCGAGGTTGAACACCTGCGGCAGAAACTTACGCTTCAGTCTAAAGCTCGAGCGCAGGGAGCCCGATGCCTGAGAGTTGGACTCGTCGCTGGACGACACCGAGTCCAGTCGCTGACGGTCCAGCGTGGCCGTGCCCCTGTAGCCAGCTGAAAAGGACGAGGATGCGAGGGCCACGGCAGCAGCCGCCGCCCCAGCCGTATCCTGCAGCTGCAAGGCACTGCTTTGGTCCTGTGCATTGATATTGCGCCGGAAGAGACGCGTCTGTATGAGCGCGCCGCCCTGTATAATGCTGTCAAGGAACAGGCTGCACGACGCCGGCCTTTGCCGCAGAATCTTCTGATAGTTCTGCAATGCGGCGACAGCTGCGTTTGCCTGCTGATTGCCCTGCGTGGCGTGCCCAACCAGCGTGGGCAGCGCCGGACTCGTGCTGAATATATCCGCTGGCAAGTGCGTGTGCATCAGCTGCAGGATCTTCGCAATTAGCACCGTGGCGCGCACCGATACGAATTGATCGGGCGCGACGGCCACCTCGACCAGCGCATTGAGCAGTCCCGTCTCCAGGAAGCAGTAGAGCAACAGCGCCAAGTGCTGCTCCACCACATTTGGCGCACGCGCTGCCAAGCTGGGCAATATCGAACGCCCCTCAGCGGACACAAAGCCGTTGCTCAGCAGCCAGGAGTCCTGGAAGTCGGACGGATCCACCGTCTGCAGCGCCACATTATAGTCATCCGTCCAGCCGGGCTGCGGCACCGACAGCAGCTCGTAAAGCAAATCCAATATTGCTTTCTGTTGATGATGTACACAAGGAATACATAACAATTAGTAAATCGTGTTTAAATTAGACAAGTTTATATATATGTATTTACAAAGTGAGTCACTCGGAGACTCGAGACAACAAAATCTCATCCATCATGCCTTCTGCTTTAAGCCAAGCATTAAGCCCTTTGACTAGGAGCTCATAGATAACATATACCTTGTTATCAATATATCTTATACATCATAATTTTGTTTACTAAACAAAGCTTTAATCAAAATAGCTAAAGCATTTAAAGAGAATTCGTATTTAGCAATGAATTTAAACTAAATATTTATATTACATTCAAATTCATATGCTAGCTGATTTAATTAAAAGTTTCTAGATTTAACATCTGATTATAATCGTCATATTATTAGGTAATATATATATATTTTAGAGAAGAAACTTTTGTTATTTATATATTGATTCTTGGCAATGTATGTATCCCAATGTATATTTACACATACACTCATGATGAAAATAATAGATACACCAAATTTTTTTTAGAAATTCTGTCATAACTAATTAATTTTTTATATTATTAAAAAAAATTTGATGGTAACTTTAAGGAAACCATCTGGCAATATGATGTATATCTGAAAGCCTCAGCTAATTAACAAATATGAACAGCTAGCTATAAGGCTGAAGAACCATCTCTAGTTTAACTGTAAAAGATATATCCTGAGCCTACGAGTCAAGCTACCAGTCTACAAGAACATTATACAACCAATGTGGATCTCTTAGATTCCAATTTGGGACACTGCACGCTATGTACACCCTGACATCATATAGAAATTGCAAAAAAAAAAAGACCTAAGAACGATCTCCAATATGCATCCACTCCACTCAAGCAAACCAAAGGAACGAAGAACTGAAAGTCCCTTGGTTCAATTAGGAATTTTCTAGCCAAAGCTCACATGAACCACATAGTTAGACAGACCCACCAAACCTTATGCCACAACGCTGAGAATGAACCCCTGACCACTACTGAGACTCTAGTAACTAGACTTAAGCAAAATATAGCTAACATAATTGGCTGATTGTCCTAAGGGATAAATTATACATATACCGATGTGGATATATAAACATACTTATACATATAATCTCGCTGAAGAAGCTGCATGCATACTTACTCGAACTTCAATTTGATTTAAATATAAAGCGTCAACTATTGCTTTCAAGCCTGAAGGTTTGCTTGGATCACAGAATTCGAGCGTGCCCGTCCAGCTGCGTAACACAGAAAGTAACGCCAGTCGACAGCTGGTATAGCGCAGCTCGCGCGCATCTCTGCAAGAATATTTTAGATTAATATCGTGTGTAGTGAGGGAGCTGTAGTCGCTTGGCAACCAACTTGTTTTTATCCATGATGCCTAGTCCATAGGTGAAATCACAATAAGGTGCCGCCAGGCAGTCGAGTCGAACGCCGCAAATGTTGCGCGTCTGCGGCCATTCGAGCAGATAGAGCAGCACTCCGCAGAGGCTTTCGGCGATGCGTGGATTGTGGCACTCCAGCACATTCCGCGTGATGGATGAGACGCCGCCGCATACAATCAGCAGCGCCGGATTGAGCACGGCGAACTCCGCTAGGGTCGCCAGGCAGGCACGCAGCAGATTGTCGCTCTCCTCGATGCCGCTGTCGGCCAAGGAAACCAGGCACCTGACCACCACCGGGCTAATGTCTTCTGGTGCTATCGCCAGCATTTTGCGCACCAGCTTCAGTGCCTGGACACGCTCATCGTCGTTCTTTAGCATCAGATCGATGGAGCGGCATAGCAGATGCTGCAGCTGCAGCGAATTGAACGTCTTGATGTCCTTTGGTGTGCTCAGCGTGTATCGTATGGTGCGCAGCGCTGCCGCACGCACCTGCGTAAAGGTGTGCACCAGCGAGGCACTTAGGCTGCAAATACCGATAAATTAGCATGGATTCTATGCCCTTAACTCCTTTAACTACTCACCAATAGAGAAGCTCCTCCGTGCTAAAGCGTATGCTGGTGTGCGGCGATCCTGAGGTGGCCGCCAGGCATAGGGAGGCCAGCGCATTGAGCAGAAACAGACGCTTCGTATCGCGCGTCTCCTCCACGCAGAGCATGGCATAGATGTCGTGCGCATTTTCAGCTGCCGATTTCGTTGGATCCAAACGGTAAAAGTCCTCGGGATCTTGCGAGACTGAAATGAGAATAAATGTGCACTAAATATGAATACAATGGCCTTCAGCTTAAAGAGTTATCATTTACAATGCTAATCGTGGCTTATGAGCACTGTATACATGAATATAAGATCTCTACATAGAGTTTTAATGGATTGGATCTATCAGTAATACTCAATAAGCAATAGAAATTATATTCTAGTAAAATATGATATAATATTCCTATATCAATGAGCTCTCTAATATATATCAATTATATAATATACACAGACATAATATCTTTATATGGTGCATATAATTCTGTAGGGGAATATTTACATTACAGTTGAAGTTGTTTTCAATTTCAGTTAATTTCCGGCATATATATTATTTATGTTAGTTATCAATAATTAGCTTTATTGACAAGAATTGATTATAATATATATAAGTGGGTGGTGAATATGTGTGTCAGGCATGCAGTGACAGCAGTTAAATGCCAATAAATATACTGGCTATTTATCAAAGTGAAATTGTTTCACGAGCGCAGCTAATCAGAGGCCAATGCTGCCGGTGCACGTGAAATTCGAGTGAGTGTCAGAGCACATAGCCGTTGTTATTGTTGTTGCTGTTGTTGTTCTGCTGTTGTTGTTTTGTTATTCTCTTCAAGTTGCAGCGAGGCAACGGCACAGAACCAACTGTACTTGGGAAATAAATGAACAACAAATGTATATTGTTGCTGTTAGTTGTTGTTTTTGTTGCTGCTGTTGCCGTTGGTCTTTTTTTTATTAGCTTGCTGCGTCATCGTTGGGGCTATATGTTAGCGACGTGACGTCTATTAATAGAAATCAAACATGTAGTAAAAATTTGGTCAAACAAAACATAAATATATGTATGTGTATATTTATATATCAAATATATATTATATATAGATATGTATTTATATAAACATCTACATATATTTATATAAATAACAGGCCATTTCTGGCCGCAGCACTATCATCGGGAAAGTGATGAAAATGGAAAAGAATATTGCCAAGCGACTGTTGTTGCTGCTGCTGCTGCTGCTGCAGCTGCTGCAACATTCTTCCCGTTATGCGCAATCAACTTTGCCTGCATATTTATTGGGTAAGGCCTGTTGGAATCTATTGTGTCAGACAGAGCCAAGCATTAGCTAGAAATAACAACAATAACAGAATCTAGATCTATGCATGTGTGTGTCTATGCGTGTGTGTGTGTGTGTGTGTGCAGCTGTATTATTGTTATGCATGTAATGAAAGTTGTGGCATATGTTAATTAACATTTATCATTTGCCACACACATAACAACCAACGTACCATTAATGCGTAATTGTAATTTGCTTCTTTTTTTGCCAAAACGCCAACTGGAATGTAGAGAGGCCATATCTCAGTGCAACGGCGAAGATGGCGGCGGCGGCGGCGACGGTGGCAGCAACGGCGGTGACGGCGCCCATTCACCAACACAAAACCAAAATAATAAGTGCACGCGATTAAATGAAAAAATATATTGCTTTTAATGTTAGTTGGGTTGCCTCTGTTTACTTTCTACATTTTATGGCACTCTTGTTTGCACTGTTGTTGATATTGATAGCGATGTTAACCTACAGCTGGTCAACATTAGCATTTTATTGCGTTAAATCACGTTTCAATCACTTATATTTCTTTTGTTTTTGGCATGCACACTTTTATTTTGTTGTTAAGCACTTCGGCTATATTGTTTATATCAATAATATATTTGCACAGAAACCAAACGCAAAATTGACTAGTGAATGCGCTTTTCCTTTTTTTTTTTTTTGTTGAAATAAGCAGGACAGTCGATAGCTAACAGGGCTACCGGAAAAATCGAAGCGCTGGGTAACTCAAACGATTTATTAATTAATTGACAAAAATTATAATGTTCAATAAGTAAATAGTGAAAAAAAGGAAAATCAAATATTTCATAATTTATAGAACTTTTATTGAATTGAATAGAATTCAAAATAAATATATATGTCATTTAGAAATGATTTAATACAACCAAACTATCGATATATATTTTGATAGGGATGTTATTGTGCTCTAAATTCATGTGTGGAATTTGGGTCGCTCTTACGAACAAATTGTTATTGATCAAATAGGATTTCATCAGTCGAACTATTAGCCATACAGCTCACAGATGGGACATTTCAAGATCCCAAAAACTTCAAATTTAGTCGGGCCGTTCTTATCAGATCAGACGATGAAATTAAGGGAAAGCATATATATAATTTGCTCATAAAAACACGATATACTACATAAAAAGTTTCTCTGAAATCGGCGTGTTTGCACATATATACATACGGACAAACGAATCATTGAATAATTCATAGTTTTTCAGATACTTATTTGGAAAGACAACAGATTTAGTACTAAGTCCGCCAAAGAATTGCAAACTTTTAAATAGTTTTTATCGATTGTGCTCGATGAATGAGCTAAATTGCTCATCTCTCAATAAATAGTAACACTAACCAGAGAACACATAGACTAGACAACTAGTGGAAAGCTTTTTGCACGCTT